AAAGAAAAAAAAAAGATAAAAAAAAAAGAAAAAGAAAAAAAAATCATGCCTACATATTCTGTTGCACTATTCTATTTTCTACTTGTTTCAATGTCATTTTAAGAGTTGTTGCCTGGTTGCTATCTTGATTTCCTTTAAAAGTGTCTTAGCTATTCCTGGTTTTTTTATTATCATATTTGAATCAGTTTATCAAGTTCCATGCCAAAAAATTTTCTTAGGATTTTTACTCGGTTTGCATTGAAACTGTAGTTGTGTTATCTAATACAGTAGTTGCCAGACACAGATTGAACATTTGAAATGTAGGCAGTCCAACTTGTAAGTATAAATTATACACTGGATTTTAAAAAAAAACATAAAAAGGAATACTATCTCATTATTTTAAGTGCTAGTTACATTTCAAAATGTAGTATTTAACATATATTGGATTAAAGAAAAGATATCATTAAAATTAATGTCAACACTTTCTTTGCATTTAAAAACATAACTACTTAAAAAATTTTAAATTATATATGGTATATTTCTATTAGACAACACTGATCTATACACCTTAATTTTTAAAACACTGGATGTGTCACAATTTGGAAGGGTATCAATTTGGAAGGTAAAGCCTTTCAAATTATTTTGGTTTTTATAGTTTCTAAATAAATTTTTTCATTTTATGCATCAAGGACTTGCATAACTTTTTCTAGATATGTTACTAGGTATTTGATAACTTTTGAAAGCATTGTAAACAGTGTCTCTATTTGAAATGACATTTTCTACTCGCTAATTAATATAAATATCTAGCTTTTTAAGGTGGTGGTTGTTGTTCTTGTGCACCATCGAGTTGGAACCAACCCATAGCTGATCCTCTGGTGGGTTTTCATAGGCACAGGAGGAGACTGCCCACCTTTCTCCTGTGCAGCTGCTGCTGACCTTGAACTGCATGCCTTTGGGTTTGCAGTGCAGCTTTTTGCCACTAGTCCACAGCATTTTAAATAGTTCCTTGTAAATCTTATACATCTTCCATCTTTTCTTATTATGCAGGCAGTTCTGAATTATAAATGAGACTTGTTTCTACCAATGTCTTAAGTTCTTAAAGAAGTTGCATGCCAGTAGGAACACGTCCATACTATTCTTATCCTTGCTTTTCTGTAAAGGAGCCCTGGTGACGCTGAGTTCTGTGCACCAGCCACTCACAGGGACAAAGATGAAGCAAATTTGCTCCTGGAAAGATGTATAGCCTTGGAAAGCCAAGGGAGGGTTGTCTTCAGTTGGAAATGATTGGATGGTAGTTGATCAGAGCAAAAAAAGGGTCAATGGATTTTCAATTATTTCAAAGTTGCATGTATACAACCAGAAGGTGATGGTGAAAAGAATTTGTTGCCACTAGGGATAGGCCTCAATGGTTTCAAAGCAGGGATTGGAACTGGTTCGTCACAGTTCAGTCATAGCTGAGGAAGCTCAAATATCGTGGCAGAACCACGTTGCTCTGAACTTCTGTGCTTCTCAACAGACCTATCAATAATCTAATCAGGATCCTAAAAGGATTCTCTTCTGCATTTCCTATTCCAGGCTTCAAAATTTATTCAAACACAACTTCTCTGATGCATTATCTACATGGCAAAAATGAAGTTCTGTACTGTTTTGCTTTGTTGGCCATGGCAGAACTAGTCTGAAGCCCTGTATTAAAGGGCAAGTAAGGGTTGTCGGCAAATTGAACATACATGATGCAGGGTCTTCTCTCTGTGGTGAACAAGACAATGTGAATAGAAGGAAAATGGTCATCTTTGTCATGTCAATCTCAAAATGAAACCTTCCAATATTTCACCACTAACACAAAGATAAATGGAATACAGGCAATCAGACTTACAATAGATTCAATTTTCAAGGTACTGATTTTATGACCACTCCATTTCTTGAGGGGGACATCTTATCATCAGTAATATATACTATATATAATGTTGTAGCATGTAATTTGTTGATGGCACCATATTTGTAAGTTTATATATGTTTCAAACATCCCAAGACAGAGTGATGGTATTCTAAAATTTCATTTTTAAATCTGAAGCATTTATTTTAAATATCAAACTATTTCTAAGAATTACTTACTTAAGAATCATAGTCATTGTTTCTTTTCGATCTTTTCCTTGGAAAGGTAGGGTACCAGTGAGCATTTCAAACTACAAAATAATCAGCAGTATTAATAATAATACTAGTAAGTATGGCATCTGAAGGCATAAAATGTATAAAAGTCTAAAATCTAGAAAGTAAAAAGAGACATCACCTTAATTAGAATTCTAAATATTGTACATAATGAAACAAGTGATTTCTATCTAGCCATAAAGGAAATTGTTGATAATTCTTAAAACACAAGTGAGCTAGTTATTTTGCAGGAATTACTGTTGAAATGATAAAGATATACATTTGAATATTTTAACATGTCCCAATTTCATAGAAATATTTTTTCATATAAGTTTACTTTTAAAGGTATCTTACTCAAATTTTGGGCCAAGTTTTTCTCCCCAAAGACTAAACAGTGGTAATATTTCAGATTGTTATTATTTGTAGAAAATCAGGTGGAATACATTTTGTCTTTTCAAATTAGGATGAGATGCAAGCAATTTACATGTTCCACAGTCCATTTATTCTTACATTCTTATTCTTTATATACTATAAAATGCAGACTATATATA